GGTCCCATTGAATGCAAGACACTTGCTTTATTTTGATCCTGTGTCTGTGCTTCAGGGCCTAGATTTCAAACATGATTGCTGAGGAACGCAGAGCGCACTGTGAGCAGAAATAATAATTTCCCCTGTGCAAAACTGTTTCATTCATGTCTCATTAACTCCAAGTTGCTCCAGCGTGGTAATGGTGGCTTTGTGTTGAGTGTAACACATCCAAAAAGATTGTTTCAGATACCCAGGGGCTTCACTATTTTTAGTACAGAAAATGCAATGAGGATTGAAACAATCTTGGAAATTAACTGTTTGAGACATTCAGCTTTAAATATTTTTTAGATAAACCTTATTTTTAATATTTTATGTGATGTATCATAGCAAAAAGCTGTTGCTATAAGAGCATAACTTATGTATAAACTATACCTTACATACAAAAATAACAGCGTATGAGGTTGACTTTCAAGAAAAGTTTGTCTCAGGGATTATGAACCCTCAATGTGAAGTTAGAACTCCCTTATGTGTTTTTTTGTAAAATAGCTCTAATTGAATTTCATAATTGTTTACTTCATTATGTACAGTATGTGAGATCCTGTATAGGTAATTGTAAATACTGATTCAATTGCTTTGGTAACATACAGTAAGCGCAGACACTGCAAACAAAGTTAAAATTTAATAAGTGCTAAGTAGTATGTACTATACCAGTAAGAAGGATGTGTATTTCAAATGCCAAAGGTGTGGTAGAAAACTGGAAAATGCAAATTAATTTAATTAAAATATAAATTTAATTTAATAAAATTAATAGTAATAGTTAGGAGTAGATTTGAACTCAGGGGAAATAATAGTTCAACAATATATTAGTAAGAGCTTATTTGGAATATTGTACATGGTTTTGGTCACTAGAAAGTTATTGCTGCACATGTGAGCAGCCAAATAAATGTATACGCTAAAACAAATGGCAAAATCGGACAGAATAAGGAAGCCAAATATTTTCACCCAAGAACAGAGCTGATTACATGTGGACTTGGTTCAGGTATTCATAGTCCTGAAGGATACCTACTGTAGAGTACATTGCACAAAATTAATAACAGTTAACCCAGTTCTTCTGGTTCCATCTCTTAACCCAGTCATCCCCCCCACCCCTGTGAGGAGTTGATCCCAGCTGTAATATCCATAGTCAGTTTATGCTCTTCTCCCTTAATGCAAGGACTGCTTTCACTATTGCTATTAACTCTTTACTTGGGACACAGTAATTAGTGAGGCACCCCAGACAGGTCCTTCAGGAGCTGGCTTGTACTTGTTGTAACTTTTGCTGTCATCTGCTACATGCTCCATGCTGCAAGATGTGGGACAACCTGTGGTTAAGGCTTTCTGCTGTGGATGGGGCTCACTCAGTTTCTCCCAGCTAGGAATACTGAAGGTCAAGCTACTGTCTTCCTTCATCGCCCAGACCAGCTTCCCTCAGCCTTGGCAAAGCTGTGCAGTCGAATAGATTTGCACGCTAGGAAATGTGTTGAGTTATTCAGTCATCATTTCTACATGCGTAGGGATGTGCCTTCACTCTGGTCTTACTGTATGTTGAGAGGGTGTTCTCTGTTCTGAGGTTTTGCTTTGTTTGGAATAAAGTTCTTTTTTTATCTAGAATGGAAATACAAACTTTGCTTTTGATAATACTTCAAATAACATATAAATAGTTATTGAAATTAATACAGTATCTTATGTGAGCAAATTCAGAATTATTAGTCTAATTCAGTTGTGTATAGATACACAATGTTTTCTTTTGTTAGGACAGAACAAAATTATTTTTTACTGATTGAAACCAACACACCATCACATCATCACAGCTGCCAGAAACTGTTGGAACTTGGACAACAATAACTCCTGGGCCAGTGTGTCACCTTGCTTTTTCACATTTTAAATGGCCTTTCTTGGTCTTCCAGACCTCCTCGGGAATTCTAGCTCTTCAATGCACATAACTCTCATAATGTACATAACTCTCAGTCCCTTTGGGTGAAAAAATACCTCCAGCTTTCAGTTTTAAATGCACGTCCATGTGGTTTTCACTTGTGCCCTCTGATTCTATTCATGTTGCACTGTTCATTTGAAGAAATCCACTGAGTTGACTTTGTCAGTGCCTTTAATGATTTTGAATAGTTGTATTTAGCCCCCTCAAAGTCTTCTCTGTCCAAGACCTGAATAGCTCCTTTGGCATTTTGGTGTTCAGCATTCCCTTAAGACCTGGAATGTACAGGAATGTATCTGGTTATCATCTCTCTCTGGATTGATTCAAGAGCAGCAGTATCTTCTGTATAGTCTGTTGACCAAAATTACAATGAGACCTTACTAATGCATTGTACAATTTTATCTTAACATCCCCAAAATTCTATGCTTTTAAGTATAAATCCTAGAATTGTTGTTACCTTTTTGATTTTTTTCTGAATTTACTACATTTTCTGCATTGTGTAGAAAATGTAAGTGATGTGTACATGTAAACATTGAAGTCTTATTCATGAGGCAGCCTCTTCTAGCTCAGTGTTTCCTGCACTTGTGTACATTATAATTTATAATAATAATTGCTTACACTTTACACTTTCTGGACACTCCAAACTCCACTCAAAGCACTTTACAGGTAATGGGGACTCCCCTCCACCACCAATGTGCAGCCCCACCTGGATGATGCGACTGCAGCCATAGAGCACCCTAACTCTCACCCCACATCAGCTATTAGTGGGGAGGAGATCAGAGTAATGAAGTATATGGGGATTATTAGGAGGCCATGACTGATAAGGGCCAATGGGAAATTTGGCCATGTCACCAGGGTTACACCCCTACTCTTTTCGAGAAGCACCCTGGGATTTTTAATTACCACAGAGAGTCAGGACCTCAGTTTTACGTCTAGTCCAAAGGACGGCACCTTATTACAGTAAAGTGTCTCCATCACTATATTGGGGGCATTAAGACCCACATAGACCACAGGGTGAGCGCCCCCTGCTGGCACCACTTCCAGCAGAAACCATAGTTTTTCCCAGGATGTCTCTCATCCAGGTACTGACCAGGCTCACACCTGCTTAGTTTCACTGGGTTGCCGGTTGCCAGTTGCCAGTTGCCAGTTGCCAGTTGCAGGGTGATATGCCTGCTACATTAAGCATAGTTTGCCAGGTGTTTGTCCAATGTTGAATTTTAACCACTGTTAATATTCTTTTAGTTAATTGCTGTTATCATCTGCAAAAGTGACTGATTTACTGTGTAAACCATTATCTAGATTGCTATAAATTAATTTATATCTTCCTAATTTATATAGATTGATGTAAATTAAGATGAACAGCAGTACTAGCACAGATCCCTGTGGCATCCCAGTATTACATCACTCCAATTTGAGCATTCACCTCTTATCTGTACCCACTGTTTTATATTTTATAACCAATTATCAATTGAAAAGCAAGTGTTTCCCTGAATGCCTACCAGCTGCAAATAGAGAATAAATCATTCATGAGGAACTTTATCTGAAAATCTAAATGCACCATATCACACGCCTTATGTGTATGCATTTCTATTTTTTGCTTGTTCAGCGAATCCGTACAAGTTGATTAAGAAAGATCTGCTGTTTCTAAACCAATGTTATTTCCTAGGATATTATTTCCATCTAAGTAATCCTGTAGTTTAATTCTTTTATCATTTCCATTACCTTGCATAACTTAGAAATCAGACTTATTGGTCTGTTATTACTTGGTTCAGTTTTCACATACAGTACAGAGACATGGCCACTACATTAGCAATTCTCCTTAGATTCTTTGTTTTCTTTTAACCACTGTTGGAAGCATCGCATCGATGGCTTATGATTAACATCTCTCATATCTTGAGTGCACTTGACATGCCATCAGGCCCCGCAAATATATTAATCTTAAGTGTCTATAGTACCCAAACACTTCTATGCTAATGCTAGCCAATACAGAAATGTGTCCTTCCACTGCCCGAAGAATATTGATTTCTTCCTTAGTGCAAAAAGTGAATCTTATCGCTAACTCTTCATTCTGTTCATTAATCACCAGGCATTGGTGTATTGAACTTGATTAACTCCATGTCACCCAGACCTTAATCTTCTCTTTCTCTGATCAATTCAACTTAACTCTTCACTCTTTCTCGCCGCAAAACACCACCATTTTCTTTGCATCCACTAACTTGTCCCAGCTGATCCTTTTTGGCCAGGAACTGTCATGTGCAAGTCCATCTTTTACCCTAACCTTAATAACCCTATGCTGTATTTTCTCAAGCCTCCATAGCTCACAGAGTCACAAAGGCCTGTAAAACAGCCTGAGCTGTTGCTAATGGATCCTTTTGAGCTCAGTCTCCTCCATCCTGGCTGGAGCTGAAACACAAAGTGTTTCACACCTAGCCACTTAATTAGACCAGAGGAGTGACTAATTCCAGGCAGAGCCTATCCTATTAGTTCCCCTTCCCTCATGGGGAATCTCACTCTCTTTGAGTGCTAATTCTCTTTCAAATTATACTGTAGTTGTGCCTCATTCTTCAGGTTTTCCAAATGACGTGTCCTTTTTGGTTCAAGGCCACATCATTGGCCCTGATCTCTCATATTGTCACCTCTCACTACCACACACAGGGATACAACAAATAATTGGTTTTAAAAATAACAGTAACATGCACAATATTAGACGTTATTTTTCTTGTCTTGTGAGTCTTTTCTTGTCTTGTGAGAAAACATGTTGCAAAATCACCCTAATGCTGCAGAGAAAATGACAATTGCAGTTAACTTCATAATTCATGCAATATTTAATTTTCACGACACCAAAATAAATCAGTAAAACATAGAAAAAGAGAAATGATGTTTCCAAATGAGTTTTAAATGGAATCTTTCTAGAGATAGAAGAAACTTGTTGTTTGATTAGAGGTAATGTTCAATTGTACCAGTATCTGTCAGCAGGCAGAGTTGTGAAACTTTGCATAAAGAATAACAAACTTAGATAATATGTTTTTTGTCCACTTTTTCTATCCAACAGAATCACCTTCTGCCATCTCCCATTCCAGAGTAAGTGGCTATATGTGGGCACAGAACGAGGAAACACACACATAGTGAACGTGGAATCATTCATCCTCTCTGGATATGTCATCATGTGGAACAAGGCAATAGAACTGTGAGTATTCTTTACTTTAATAATTCTGCATGAGCACCAATTCCAGTGCTTCATGTGGATCTCAATATCCTTTTGGACCGGTGCATTTCTCACGATGTTGTTCAAGCCTTTAAATGTCAAATTAGTCTTCTACCACAAATGAGCCAGAACCATCGATAAGCTCTCTAATTTTGCTGTCTTCAAGATGCTTGCCATAATGCTATTGTGGAGCAGGCAGCTTGCCACCAGCTGGGGTTTGATCACTGTCTCTCAGGCACCTACCAGCAATGAGCCTGTTAGGTTCCTAGGAGATTAAATCATCATATTGGGACATTAAGTCACCGAATTACTGAAATTAATCATTAGTAATAATGGATACACCTTTGTTTCAACATTCTTCAGCGGGATTTCTGTGATTATGTCTCTTGTTAAAAGAAAATACGACTAAATTGATGCATTTTTTAATATTTTTAATATTTGATTATCAAAAAAAGGTAATCAAAAACCAGAGCTAAACAAATCCTCCTACCACCAACCCGCTTCCTCCCATCCCCACCCACAACAGCAACTCACACCTACAGAAGTGAATAAGAATAAAATGGGAATAGAAAACATAAAAATATATACAGTATATTAACTAAAAGAGTGATTTAATAAAGACAGTTTCTGATGCCCATGATCTAATTTTCTGTACCTTGGCACTGTGGGTAGGGGCTGTGGAAAGTTCCAATAATAATACTGTATGTCAAGGGAGAGCACTGGAGGTCAGCCAACACTGTGCTTTCATTTTTTTTGGAAGCTGTAGTATCTGCTAACCATATCCCTTTTTTTGTAAACTAAACACATTGACAGACTCAAAGATGAACTAGATGTGATCTACTGTAATTGTATCATTTAACTCAAACTGCTCCCTTAGTAATGAATATTTTTACTTTTAAGATAAGTAAGATAAAGTTGGAACAAACCAGTGTTTGCACATGCATATATATCTTGCTTGGATAATGCTCTAACGTTTAAAACCTATTTGGAAATTACAAGCTCATTTAGACTTGGTATGTTTTATTACAACCAAATGTGTTTCATATGTTCCTATAGGTTTTCACCAGTTTAAATGGGGGTCATTTGCAGCATGGCTTCTATAGATGGTGTCTATACAGTAGATGGTGTTCTATAGATTGAAGTCCTCTATTAGTCTGCCATACTGTATGTTTCATCACTGGCGCCCCCTATCGCACTCCTCACAGGGGTCTTCACTCTTTGATAGATTGTCCCTCTTTGCAGACCAGACACATTCACTTCTCTGGTTCAAATCGATTTGCAGATCATTAATTGGGTAAACACCTTCCTATCTTCATAATCTATTGCAGTTCTCTGTGCCATCATTCAATTGCTGTAGTACTTTTATCAAATTGAACCTCCTGAGAGTGTCAACGACTTTGGGTGCAAGTCATTTCAATTTGCCACTGCCAGTGACTGGAACAAACAGCAGAGAAAGCTGGAACTATCCACCTCTTATCTGAGGGTGTTTTCAGCTGTATGATTAAATCTTGTCTGCCTGACACTTGTACTTGTTAAAACTGCCAGGCGCTGTTATGGTATGTGATTTTTATTGATTGTTCTATTCTTTCTTTCACTGCTTTGTCTTCTGTGCAATAATGCTGTAACCTGATGGCAAGGTCATCACTATTAGATGAGAATCTGTTCTCAACCATTTTATATGGTTAATAAAGGATCATTTATGAAAGATTTATTTATATTATATGTAGTTGCAATAAGCCAAAACAAAATGAGAATCAACTACGAAAAGTTAAAGATGTAATTGAGAATTAGAGAATCTCTCTAATTTTAATTTCTGTGCACCTCTACTGCATACATGTGACTTGTCAGGTTTGCATAAAGCCCCATCACATGTCTTGCAATCATGTGTAAGTGTAATGTTTCACCCTCAACAAGTTATTAGAACTAGTTTCCTTTGCAGGTTTTCAGAAAACTAACCTGACAACAAAAGACCATTATAGCACTCAAAGTGTAGCTAGGGTGCCCTTGACACCATATGGTTTTAGTCGGATCATTTACATCCCACAAGCTTTAAAGTTGTGTTTTTTGCTTACAGTGAAAACTAGCACCTGTAATCAGTCCACGATTGTGGTTAGTCAGCCCCAAAGGCCAGCTGTTCTTTTCCTAATCAGGGCTGTGATACTAATCAAAGGAATATAATATGAGCCTGTTGATCATTTCATGTAAACATACTGTACTTAACAATGTACCAGTTCATCCAGTAAATATTGTCAGAACAGCTCTAACTTTAGAGGCAGTAAAGACAAAGGCATACTTTTTGCTCTAAATGCAACAGACAGTGCTTTTCAGGGGTCCCTAAAATAGTTTTGGACTTGCATGTGTAAGGAGATTATATTTTATTAGTTCTAATTCATCTTTAATTCATCATACATACCTGCATGCTCTTCATTGGTATTATTGCCAACTGACTCCTACAAATAAATTCCACTGGCAGGAAAAATGAACTGTTCAGACATCTTTTCTTTCAATTTGTTGGACTTACATTAATACTGAGGAGTCAGGTTAGCTCTCTGGAGCATGAATCAACAGATTTTTTTTTTAAAAAATGGTTGTTTTAATCAAGATTCAGATTGCACAGCTCATACACTTTTCAGTCATCGAGGTTGTCATTCGCTAAGCCTCAGTAGTTTAAATATAACCTCCACACTTTTTTTTAAATTGTGAGTTCCAGTTTTTGTGAATACCATCTTGTCTGCTGATATACCATATATACAAACAAGCAACTAATACAATTATGGTGATACACTTCAAAAACATTAATCTTTATTCTTTGCTATGAAAGACTCATACAGTCTTACAGTCACCTTAGAGCTCACCTAAGTGGTACAGTACACAAGGATGCATGCAGACCTGATTTTTTAAAATGAATATCAGTACCTAAAGAAAGTGAGAATGTGTGGAGAGTTTTTCTGCATACCTATTAAGACACTAACCTAAGCATCTACAGCAATGCAACATGTGCACGAGATGGGTAAAGGAGGCTTTAATTCCACAGTGACATGGATGAACAAATTAATGAATAGAACAAAGGTGCCTGCCCATCTTGATGAGTATAAAAAACAACAAAAACACAACATTTTATCATCTTATACTCCACAGTTCCCCAATTTCTCACTCTTGTTTTCTTCACTTACTGTATTTCCCTCTTGTAGGTATAACAACCTGAATAAGAAAGGAATCAGTATAGCCCCATTTTTCAGTTTCTGCCACTGATGTTCTCATTTTCTATTTCAAAATAAATTGTCCTGCTGACTCAGATATGACAGTATTGCTAGATGTTAGATATCTATAAAAATAACCTGACCACTGATAATTTATTTTGTTATGGCTTATTGTTTGTAATTAATGATACAGTATGTTGTTTGAGCAATGGGAAGAAAATTGATTTTGTTTTTCTAACACATGACTGCAACAGTCATATTTTTATTGTTTCTGTATGAAATTAAATTTTGAGTTTACAAGAAATGATGATTAAGACACATTGACTTATTTACTGGAGACAACAGTGAATTCATTTTTTAAGGCTAGACAGAGTTACCATGCTATAAATTATAAGGACTCAAAGTAATGAAGCAATACACAAACAATATTATTATAATCTCAAAGCTAAAAGCAGTGGATAATAAAGTAAATTCTAAAAGTCAAATTTTCCTTATCAAGCTCATGTTTCACAACTCAAGACATCTCAGATTCTCGTGTGTTGCTTCATAGTGGTAAAGGGTTTTCTGCCACTGTCACCCATTTTGAGAAAACTAGCTGGAGAGACCTAAGCTGTAGCTTCTTGGAAAAATTCTGTGTTTTTATTAGTTAAAACAGAAAAGATCAATGATGCTGCCAGAAGCATTGGGTTCTTTATCAGACTGAATGTGTTTTGTCATGATGCTATTGCTGACATAGTTGACATCCACAGACTTGTAGGATGTACTGGTCTGCTGGATGATTAACCATCAATACTTCCAACATTGGGGGTGGAAAAAGGAATATAACTGCTTCTTCCATTTTTCCTTTCAAAAGGATTGCTGATAGCCCTCCAAAAAGCCAAGAAGGCCATCATTTGAAGAAAGGCTAAAGACCAGGAGATTGAAAAGAGTCCTATGTAGAACCCCACAATGGGTGAAAACAAGGATTTAAATGTCATAGATCAATTTCATATAGAATCACTTTCATATATGTTTGGGATAGATATTATCCATCACAGCAAAATCATGTTAAATATTCCCCCTTCTCTACACATTAGTTAACACTAATGTACAGATCCAGCCATTCAGAAGGATACTGCAGTAGTTCGCAGTCCAGGGGCTGTGAGAGACTACAGCTTTTTAGACATTTTCAGTTGTGTGACTGCACTACTTCGTAAAACCACCAGGTGGAGCAGTGAAAGCTTAATGTGACATGTAAAGCAACACCTGGTTTCAAATTCCGATCAATGCTAAGGGGCAATCTTTTTTCAATTACAGAATTTAACTTGTGTACTGTTTAGACTATTATTAATTTTAAACCGTACAGCATGTTAAACATTAAACTGATTAAAAAGTTGGTATATTTGATAAAAGCAAGATCACTTGGTTGGACAAAAGTACACAACAGTATTCCACCTTCTTCATAAATATTTTGTGGATCAAAATTGTTATCCAATTATCCAAATAGTTGAGTTGATATTTAGGAGTTGCACTTATCAGGCATCTGTTTCTTTTCACAATACATTGTCGAGAGTTCATAGTGAAAATACCAGTTTAGTCTTCTCTGTCCCAAAACTTTTGGAGGACAATATTAATAATGATTATAACTCCTTACACTTACAGTATATAGCACATTTCTGGACACTCCACTCAATGCGCTTTACAGGTAATTGGGACTCCCCCCCAACCACCACCTGCAGCACCACCTGGATGATGCGATGGCAACCATAGTGCTCCAGTATGCTCACCACACACCAGCTATCA